AACAATAAAAAACAAAAAAAAATAAATGTGAAATCAAAGCATATAATATTAGCTAAAAGTGTTGTAGCAGAGTACTCAAGAAGTAAGGAAATTCTAAAGCATGTACTTTAAATAGAGGGGGGAAAATCCAGAATGAAATCAGAAATAGAAGAAATGAAAAACAAATAGGTGGATAATTTTCAATGAACACGGACTAAGATATAATATCTCATAGTCGTTTAAAATATATAACTCTGTTGATAGTAACATCATTATAGTCAGTGGTAAGGCACTGGTGAGCAAAGGATTTATAAATGCATAGTACTTTTTATTAGACTCCAATACATATATTGTTAACCTATATATCTCCAGAATGATGTTCTTGATGTCCTCCGACAGCCCATTGGGTCTTTTTTATTAGTGACCAATCTGTCAAATTTGTTCTTAAAATATATTCCAAATTCAAGTGGGATAGACTTAAGATCGTATTTTGGCTTTTGTGGTCTTGCTTTAATTTTCTTCAGCTTTAACCAGAACTTATAAATGAGAAATTGATTATCTGCTCCACAGTCAGCCCCTGGCCTGGGTTCAGCTGCTGATATTGAGCTTCTCCGTTGTTTCCTCCCACAGTTGCAGTCAATTTGATTTCTGTGTATTCCATCTGGGGAAGTCCATGTGTAAAGTCAGCTACCTTTTGTGTTGTTGAAAACTATATTTACTATGAACACTTGTTGGTCTTCCAAATTCTATCTTGTGATCTCTAGTTTCTGTCACAAGTCCATATTCTATCACATGTCCAGCTACTGGTTTTTCCTCTTTGTTTCCAATTTTTGCATTCTAATCACTAATAATTATCAATGAATCTTGATTGAATACTTGCTCAATTTCTGACTGAAGATATTGGTGGAATTCTTTGATTTCTTTAACTGGTCTCATGCAACACCAGTTTTTGAGGTTGTTGCATAAGTTTGAATAATAATTATATTCATTGGATTGCCTTAAAGACAGTTAGATATAATTTTCTCACAGACAGCATTGTACTTCCAGATTACCATTTTGCAATGTCTTCTTTGAAAATGAATGCAGTGCCGTTCCTCTTGATTGTGTCAATACCAGCAGTGTAAACCATATGATTCTGTAATTCACAATAGCCAGTACCAGTACGTTTCACCTCACTAGTGTGTAGGATATCGATCTTTATGCATTCCATTTTATTTTTGTTGACTTCCAAGTTCCTTAGATGCATACTTTGCACATTCCAAGTTCTGACCATTAGCAGATTTTTGCAGCTCTTTCTTCTTATTTTGGGTGGTGCCCTGTCAGCAAGTCAAGACCCTGGCGGCTTCACTCTCACAGGCATTACCCCACTCAAGTCACCATGGTTGCTCCATTCTGAGAAAGGAGCTCCAACTCAGTCACATTTCATGTGCCCTCTGACTCGAGGTGCCCATCATCTGGCACTGTCTTCAACAGTGTTCTCCTTCCCTTCGTTAGGCCTTCAGTGTTGGACAGTGCTTTAGAACTATGCACAAGGTTTTCAGCTGCTGCTTTCTCCCAAGTGGCCAGCCACTGATTCCTTCTTTGTTGTATCTCCTTAGTTTGGAAGTTCCCCTGAAACCTGTTCACTTTGGGTGAACCTGCTGGCATTTGAAATACCAGTGATGTAGCTTTCAGCATCACAGCAACACACAAGCCACCACAGCATAACAAACTGACAGACAAGTATCAAGGATTTTGTCTTTCTTGCATCCACAATCTGTGCTCATAGAATGAGATCAAAAGACAAGCTGCATTGGTTAAATCTGCTGCACAAGACCTCTTGTGTATTGAAAAGCTGGATGTAATTTTGAGGACTAAGATGTGCCTGAGTCAAGCCCTGGTATTTTCATCTGCCTCATATGCATGTGAAAGTTAGACATTGAATAAGGGAAACTGAGGAAGAATCAATGTATTTTAATTGTGGTGATGGAGAAGAAGAATGAAAGTACCACAAACTACTTAAAGGACAAACTATGTGTCTTGGAAGAAGTGCATCCAGGGTGCTACTTAGCAGCAAGGATGGTGAGATTTAGTCTTACATGCCTTGGACATGTTATCAGGACATACCAGTCCCGGGGAAAGGACATCGTGCTTGGTAAAGTGGAGGGACAATGACAATGAGGCAGGTCCCCAAGGAGGTGGAGTGATACAGTGGCTGCGTCAGTAGACTCGGGCATCGGGGTAATTGTGAGAAGGTCCCGGGACCAGGCAGGGTTTCTTTCTGTTGTGCACAGTTTGCTGTGGGTAGGAACTGACTCAGTGGCACCTACCAACAACAATAACAGCAGCAGCAGCAACAAAGATTGTTAAATTAGGAATAAAATACTGTCATAAAAGGTACATCTAAAACATAAGCATGTAGAAAATTTCAAACTAACCATTTAGTTAGTTATAGGTATCCATATCTATAATGTAGATATAGATAGATATCATATAAATATTAATAAAAGAAAGATGGAATTTTTTATAGAAGAGAATATAAATTCTAAGGTTGAAAACATTACTGGAGTAACGAGTCATCATTTCTTAATGATAAATGGGTCAGTTTACCAAGAGGTTGGTCCCCACAATTACACACTTCGGTGTGTAGCCTAGAGAAGCACCGTAAGGACACACTCTTCAAAGTAAAACTGTTTCAATAGCCAAATAATGGAAGCAATTTAAACCTCAGCAGGAGATTCAGTTAATGTGTTCTTGCACAGTTACTCTATGGAATACTGTACAGCAAAGAAAATGAATGCATTGCATGTATGCACAGCAACCTAGATGGATACTGCAGAAATAATATTAAGAATTATATTGAACCAAAGAAGCAAAGCATAAAAGAGCATACACATATGATTCCATGTAGATCAAATCTTTAAGAAGACAAAACCAAACTATATTGTTTAAGGTTGGACAAAAAGGTATTAAAAGGCAGGGGAACTTCTTAAACATGAAAGTAGGAACCAGGGGATTTAATCAGGAAGAGCAATATGGCAGAACCCTTCTGAGGTATTGGAAATGGTCTGTTTTTTAGGGTGACTATGGACATTTTCTTCATATAAACTTTTTTGTAACCAACTCCTTTCCACACTGTTTATTCTCTATGTTATTTTGTTTTCTTTTTAAAATTGTTATATATTTTGCAGTGGGGTGGATTATGTTTCACTCCTATTTTCATTACTATACTCTTAAATATTTGAAAACATGAAATGTTCTCAGTGAGAGAAATAATAATAAAATGTTTTCATCTGTGAAAGAATCAAGACACTAAATATTAACTATATGAGCCCACCAAGCAGAAAGAAAATGTTTTGAAAATGATGATGGCAACATATGTACAACTATGTTTGATGCATTTGCTGTATGGATTGTTATAAGAGCGATAATAGCCCCAATAAGATGATTTATTTTATATATATTGTGTTAGTCTGGGTACTTTAAAGAAACTAATCCACAGAAACTCATGTATGAGGGTTTTTTATGGAGGTTAAGTGTGCATCAAGAAAACATCCCAACCCAGTGCTGCCCAAGCCCACAAATCCAACATTAACCCATTAACCCATATGTCCAACACCAATCCACAAAGTCCTCCTCCATCTCACAAAACAAACACAATGATGCCAACTGCAGGAGGAAAGCCGAGTCAGTGAATGTGTAAGCATCTCAGCGTTGGCAGGGGTCTCCACATGGGTGCTCCAGCACCCAGGGCTGCATCGGGGTAGGTCCATGTGGCTTCTCCTCAGGGATGTCTTGCAGGAAGTGAGCCTTGCCAGCTAAAGCAGGGAATTGGCTAAGGCAGCTGCACCCTGGTTCGACCATCACAAAGCAAGGGACCCGAGAACTCGAAAGGCGAGGCTCACTGAGCCATTTATCCCTCCACCCTTCATTTAATCCCACATGTGTTTATCGGCCAGGTTGGCACAATAAACGAACTACCCTACACACACACACACACACACACACACACACACACACACACACACATCTTCAAAGTAGCATTAACCTGTTTTTACTTCAATCCACTCAGGTGAACTTTGAGGAATTTAAGGAAGGTTTTGTGGCAGTATTGTCTTCAAATCCTGGTGATGACCCCTCTGATGATTCAGAAAGTAATTCTTTGGAAGCAGGTAAGTAGATTTCTCATCAACTACAGCTTATTTTCATTATTGATCTGTTATTTGGGAAATATAATATTCTAGTTGAAAAATGTAACACTTCTGTAAATGAAATTCTAAACTCTACTTTCTACTCTATCATTACCAAGCTATGTGGTCTTGGGTTGTTTTCTTCTTGTCTGCATTTATTTATAAATTAATGTCAAATATGGTTTCATCTGCATCATAGGTTTGTTGAGAAAATAAAATAAACGAATGTGGAAGAATTGAAGATTTTAAGAATTAAAGGTGCAATGCAAATATGTTCTTGTGGCCTCCCAAGGTTGACAAAACAAGAAAGATTGCTACAGCCCATGGACAGATTTAAGTGCATGGTTAGTCTCAGATGAACATGACCTATAGGAGCCTTGTCACTGTCTGGGGTTGATGGGGCAAAGAATACCCTTGTAAATAGAAGTGACGGTCCCAAGAGAAGAACTATCTGAAGGAGTGGAGGAAACCACCAGGCTCTGGGTCAGGTCAGAAGATGGAGAGTGAGTAGGAAGTTCAGTGGAAGAGTTTTGGGGGAAGGATCCAAAGCAGGGAGCAGCAGGTGAGGAATGTAGATGCTCTATGTGATGAGATTTGGAAGATGATGACTAAAGTACCCATTGGCTGTCACTGCTTGTGTTAGTCTGGATTGACTAGAGAAACAAATCCAGAGACTTTCATATGTGCATAAGAAATAACTTTAGCCGTATAGCACCGACAAAACACACATCGTTCCTCTAGCTTCTGAATACTTCCTTCCCAAACACTACGACGCAGTTCTACCTTACAAATCTGGCTAGACCGAAGTACACACATTGGTACAAATAAGAGCTCTCGACAAATGGAATTCAGGACAGATAACCCTCAGGAATAGTAGTGGGAGCAGCAATACCGGGGGGTTAAGGAGATGGGGGGGAGGGAGAACCCTCACAAGATTGGATATATAGCCCACTCCCCAGGGGCACGAATAACAAAAATGTTGTTGAAGGGAAACATCAGGCAGTATAAGACACAAAATAACAATAATATATCGTTGATCAAGGATTCACAAGAGTGCGAGGATGGGGGAGGGAGGGAAAAAAAGAGGAGCTGATACTAAGGACTGAAGTAAAAAAATATATTTTGGAAATGTTGATGGCAACATATGACAAGTAAGCTTCATACAATTGAATGATGGATTGTCATAAGATTTGTAAGAGCACACCAATAAAATGATTAATAAAAAAATAAAATAAAATGAGTTGTGTAAAAAAAAAATAAAAATAATGAAATCTGGAAGTGTAAAAAAAGAGAGATAGCTTTATATCAAAGAGTAATTGTATATTAAGAAAATATCCCAGCCCAGTCCATATCAAGTCCATAAGTCCAATATTAGCCCATGTCTGATACCAGTTTATAAATTCCTCTTGACACTCATGCAACATGTGCAATGATGTGCTGGAAGATCACAGGCCAGTGAGTGGAAAGTCTTGTGGATCCTGTGGCACTGGAAGCATCTCAATACTGGCATGGGTCTCCACGTGGCTCTTCCAGCTCCAGGGCTCTGCCTGTCATCAGCGTAGCTCCATGTGGCTTGTCAACAGGAATGTATAGCAGAGAGAGTGTGTCCTGCCTGCAGGAAGGAAGCAGTTCTCCCAGAATCCTCACGAGAAGGCCATGCCTACAAGGAGGCATCAATCAGGCTGTGACCTGATTGACAGGCTAGACTTCACCCCTTCACCCAAGCTGACAGAATATTATGTAGCTGCCACCCTCCTCCATTGGGCTCAGGGTATGAGAAAATAGTCATTTGATTTGCTTAGCAATCCTGAGCTGGGGTGCCTCTGTTAAGAATGGATAAAATGTCCATGCGCACGTTCCCTTGTGAATGAGAGCAGGCGTGTCTGGACATTTTGAAGGCAGTATTGATTATCGTAGGGCAGAGGCAGGAAGAGCTCTTTCCTTTCTTCTTTACTACCTCCGCAGTTGAAAGGAGTATTGACGGTGGGATGGCACTTTTGGGAAGGGCCTGTGGAAGAGGAAAGAAAAAATAGAGAAAGCAGTGTCCTCTATGTTCCTGGCCTTGAATTTTATGTATATATCACATAAGTATTTTATCTAACCCTCAGACATTTGGAGGCATTGGTATACATGGTATTCATTAAAATAAGTTGACCAAGAAGTATGAAGGAATTTTTCCAAGAAATCATTGTGACCAGAAATTTGGGTCCAGGCTTTCCAGCTTTCGGCTCTGGGATTTTGTGCAGGCACCATTACTGGAAGCCTGTACTAACAGTGGCTGCTCATATTAGCTCTTCCCCTTCCTGCTGATTGCAAAAATACCTGCATATAGTGAAAAGCACCATGTATTTTTAGGACGGGGTCTGGAGTCTGCATAAACAAAAGCAAAATAGACTCTGAAAACTTCAAGCAGTGCATAAAGTTGAGAGTGATGGCCCTTTTTCACCTTTATTACTAGCCTCCCAACCCAATTCACAAGTAACAGAGAAGCAGTTTCTCGTGTTCTTTTAAATGTTTTCTGTTGGTTAAAAATGTTCATCCACAATAGCATAGACACATTCAAATCTCAGAGAGCTGATTTACAGGGATCCTCACCAAATTTCCCATTTTCTTTTCTCTCTCTCAAGCTGTCCTACCAAAATATGTGAGTGGTCCTAAGTGGTATGGTCGTCGGACCCGGCCTGAGTTGTGCACACTGGAGACTGAAGTCAGGCGTGCAGCAGAGAAGCAAGGACAGAGCAGCCTGAGCAGCCAGCTCCACCGAGCAGCATCTCTGCAAAGTGTGGAGGTGGGTCAGACTTTCCTTCCCCAACCTGAGTGCCTAGTATCAGGTAAATATCTCAGTTTGTCACTGCTCACATCACATGGTTGTGAGAGAATGTAAGGAGAGAGAGAGACACAGTCCCTAGAATTTTAAGTAGACAGGAGCTGGGGTTCACATTGGGGAATAAGATCTCATTTTAAATAAGATCTGGGTCTAGTTGTCTTCATAGTGACTCTGGCCGTAGAGTACTCTCCTTCAGACATTGTGACAGCAGAAATGTTTTCATTTGTTTCTAACTCCTTTCTGACATTAATACTGTAGTGCTCTGATACTGTAAGAAAATTACTTTATGGCTTTAAAGGAGTGACTTGTTAACCTACCAAGGGCATAAATTGGAAAATTCCTCTCTGATTATTATAGCTTTAAGAATTTGGATGTACTATGCCCACAGTCGCCTTGCCTTGAACATGTAGACTATAAGGTGCTCTACCCACTGAACACTGTTCAGGAAAATACTTAATACCTCCCAGTAGCCTTGGCTTTAGCTCCCTTCTCCAGTTCATTAAATTATTCACTTCAAGTACCTGGAGTGAATCCCAGACACACGCTAATGACCAGGTCCTCACTGTACTCCATGTCAAGAAGCATATTCATGATAAAGCATCACATGTTCTGAGTAAATCACATACTTGTTAGATCTGCATTCAAGGATTACAAGATGTTACTGGTTCCTCCTTTATGTGCTGTCAATTGAAAGATGAGACCGTATCAAGAGTTTACCTTTAGTAAGGTAACTTGGGGTCCTGAATTGATTTTTATTTTCAACATTTGTAAGGCACAGGGAAAACAAATAAGCACATGTTTAAATCCTAAATTCCCTTTCATGGATGCATGTGCTATGTTGGGACAACACCATAAACCCAGGACATTTGCTTTCTTGTTCTCTTTAAATTTGGATCTGAAGTATAGCGGGTTGACTTATCGTTTCTTGGGCTTCATCGGTGCTCTTCGGCTTTTTGAGACATTTTTTGGTACTCAAAACTGGGTACGGAAAGGGTATTTTTTCGTTTTGCAGTGAGTGGAAGGCATTAGGGAAGTGGGACTGGATTTTTTGGTGTTGCTCTGACTTCTCATTTAAATTCAAGGGTGTGAGAGCACTGGCGGGTAGGTCCTCGACCTCTAGTAGACAAGACAGCTAAGCACTGTAGACCTCAGTACCCCAGATTGAAAGTGGAGGGGGTGTGAGCTGAAGACTCTACCTTGTCCCTCTTTCATATGCTGGACTCCATAGGTAGCATGATGCTTCTTTCTTTCATAGCTTCCATAGGATCTTCCTTTTATCTGCTCTCAGATTTCAGTCCTCAAGATTGCTCCTGCTTAGAATTCTGAGTCTTGGTCAAACCAAAACCAAAACCGACTACCATTTAATCTATTTGGATTCCTAGCAACCCTATAGTTCTTAGTAGAAGAGTTTCACAGGGCTTCCAGGGTTGGTGGGTTCAAACGAACTAACTTTCCGTTAGTAGCCTCATGCTTAACCACTGTGTCACCAGGACTCCACCAATTCTATTTGGGGTTGTTTGCTTGGTCACTAAAACATAAGATTTTGACATGAATCAGCTGCTTCTGGATGTCTCCACCTTTTCTCTTGGTGTAAGATTACCAAGACAGTGGGTGCATGTGGTCAGTGCCTGCTCAGCATTGTGCTATTCTTGGAACTGTTTACAGAGACACAAAGGCCTGTTGCACCCTTCTGACCAGGAAAATATCTTTTGTTTTCCATTCAAAGTACTGATGATTTAGGGGGTTAGGAGCACCAAGTATGATTTCACAAAGTAAGCCATGCTCCCTGTTTCCACTCTGGCATTCTCATTTTCAGTAAGGAATTGATCATCCACATACTGCTGGTGTACAAATAGCATGGCTGCTTCAATCACACAAAAGAGCTTGCCAGTGCTACATGTTTGTTTGGTGTCCTGCAATTGCTTTTGATATTATCCAAGGGATTTATATGCCCTTCCATTTTTCCACAGAGTCTCAAGTCAGATGAAGAACCTGATGGTGCCAATGAGCCTCAGAATGAGTTATTTGAAGCACAAGGTAAAACCATGACCTCATGCTTGGTACTTTGAAAGATCCAGGACTGGGATTGTCAGCAGTGTTGCTGTGACAAGGATAGTTTCCTGGAGAATGCAGTGTGGGTCATCTCCGTGGTCAGCCTGTTTGCCAGATATATTTATATAGAGAGCGTTGTACCAAGAAAATAGCTCACACAGATGTAGAAGAAGGCAAATTCCAAGTTGTGCACGTTCCAAGCCCATGATGCTGATGTTAGGGTGCAGGGTCCTTATGACTTTCATAGCTTTGGGGGTTGATAGGCCCAAGAGGAGCAGAAAGACAAAGGTCTGTGGCTACAGAAGAAGATGAATTCAAGGTTGGCAGGTCAGGCTTGTGGCTAAAGAGGTGAATAAGTCCAAGCTTGGTAAGTCAGGTGACAAGCTACTGATAACTCCCAAGAATAGCAAGCAATACAGGAGACCACTGACTCAAGTCTTAACCTGTGTACAACTGAATCTGGGCTAACCCTATTTACATCTTTATTATTTTAAAATAGTTTTATTGGAAGATATGAGTGATTTCCAAAAAAATTGATTTTTTCCAAAGTTTTGTATTTAAATTTTTTTACAAAACAACTGTGTCACCTTCAAAGTACTCTCCATTACACTTGACACATTTGTCAAATCTGCAATTCCATTCTTGGAAACATTTTTCAAACTCATATGTTTGGATGGCTGATATCACCTCCCGCATTTTTTTTCTTCATCTCTGCTTATGTCTTCAAATCACTGTCCTTTTATTTCCCTCTTCATTCACAAAAACAAAAAGAAGTCGCACGAAGTGAGGTCAGGTAAGGTGTGTGGGGCAAAACAGGCATGCTGGTTTTTGCCCCAAGCTGGCACACTGAGTTGGCTGCGTGAGCAGGGGCATTGCAAATCAGACCATTTTCATTATACACCTGCCAGTCCCCTGTCTGCCACAAATCAGACCGTTTTCGTCACACGCTGTTATGCGATCTTTTCGGATTCTCTATATAGAACGCTTGAATCCGAAAAGATCGCAAAACTATTTTCTTTGTATGTACATTTGTTACTTCTTTTTCAGGTTTCTCAATGAGACATAGATTATTTCTCTCGATTGTTTTGTTGTGTTTAGGTGGTGGTTTCTCTTGTCAGTTGTAGTCAGATTGATTGTCTCTGGGCTCACTGATTTGAATTTCCTTTTCAGAGGGAAAATCTATTCCTCAAGGCATTTACTATGTTGCCTAATTCTGTTATCTCATTGTTTATATTCTTAAATTCCTTTTGATTTACGATTTCTTCTGTTGTTTTCCTACATGTCTAAATCATTCTTCAGAATCCTGTTTCTTGTAGTTCCAGAGCCTCTTTTTCAGAGTTCTCTATTTGTTTATATTTGTTTTTCTTGATGTTTTGGGTTTACTGTGGTTGATTGCTGTTTCCTGAGAATCCTAGTAGTCGTGCCAGTGATGTGAAGAGTTAGTTGGCTTTGTCTAGTGATGTGGGAGAGGTCTAAAAGAAGGTGAAAAACATGGTGAAATGGAGGAAAGGGGAGAGAGACGAGTAAGTGCTGAAAGTGTGTGGGGAAGATACTATATTGTTTTTAGTTTACCATTTTCCTAGATAGACAGTTTAAATGGCATCCTCTTCGCTTTTGGTTTTTCCTACCATTTTAGTCTTATTCCCCACCTCAGAGATCCAAAATGGGTGTCCTGTTAGCTGCTGAGTATTCCAGTTATATAAATCTGACTTACATAACATGGAATCTGGAACTGGTTCATTTACTACAGGGTGGGTTTGGAGAGCCACTAACCCACCTAAGATGAACTTGAAGTAAGAAAGACTCCATTACAATATTGACCTCCATGTGCCCCCACACCAAATGGTGGGTCACAGTGATGTTTTAGGCCTTCTGGAATTGGTCTCAATTCAGAGCCAGTGTCCAGTAATCCCTGAAAAGTCTAATTATTTCTTTCCCCACAGTGAACAGTCACTCTTGTAAAATGCTGAAGATCCATTTGAGGAAGGCTGAGAAAAAAATTAACAAAAAATTTTTTCATTATAGTGGGGGTCCTTCCTCAGTGAAACATAGCTCCTGCTTTTTCCAAGGGGTTGTGGGTCTGTAAACTGTCTCACCTCAGGGAATGATTGAGCAATTATGACTCTTCTGATAATTTGAGTTACACTGCTTCTCACTTGACCCAGATTTTTTTCTGCTTGGACAGATGAAATAAATATTCATTAGGTGTCCTATGTTTTTCACTCCCAAGAACATCCTGCCTAAGTAGACAATACCATGAGTCCATGAGAGTCAAGCTATTCTGATTACTACTTTGACTCAGCTGTCTATTACAGTAGCCACGTCCACCTTGTCTCTGTCAATTAAGTGCTGCCATTTGGCCCCTATTACCATGCAACCCAATTAGCCCAATTGTAGTTAGGTGTCATGATTCAATTAAGTCCATTCCTACAGTTAAATCTGGCTTACATAAAATAGTAATCAGCAATTTTCAATGATGCTGAGACTACATTTGCAATTTTGTTCCCTACTCTTGCGGTAAAGGTGTGAATTCTACTCCATGTGTGTCTGTAGGCCTATCCTGATAAATCCACTATAGCATGCCAAGCTCTTTAATCTTGTAGATAACTTTTTCTACAATATACTTTTGACTGGGCTTGTCATTGAGCATGATTTATTTATGCCATCATACAACCCATGAATCAACTTCACTGAATCACCCAAGAAGTGTCTTACATTGAAACATTGAATGAATAATCTGTGCTTAGTGGGCCCATATCAATAAACTCTGACTGCTCCAACTTTGTGTTCTACACACCGTTATCAGGCACCCTTATTAGCCATTCTAATACAAATATATCCTCTAGGTTTCTGTTTGTACATATTAGAAAACTCTGGAAATTCTTTTGGAGTATAGTGTACCTCTGCCTGGGTCATCTTTTAAGGCTTGCTGGAGCATAAGTCTAGTTTTAGGTCTAGAAGCAATAATGGGTGTTGAATTCATTAACTGGAAACATTTATCAATGTCTTTTAAAGCATCTCCTCAAGCAATGCTCCATTAAATGTCTAGGATTCATATCAGGATGCACTGCTGAGTTAATCTTCTCATGTGGTGGGGAGGGATACTAGTTTTTTACTCATGTGGTGGGGAGGGATAATAATTAATAATAGATTTAATATGGAGCAAAGATGGAGCAATCTCTTCAGATGGGAACAATCTGCTGTTGGCTGAAGTAACATTATGGAAATTAGGGGCTCAGTGCACCCATCTTCTTGATTATCTGCCTGTATCTCCCCATCCCAAGGCTTAAGAGTCCCTTTTGTTCCCAATCAATATTCTCAATTTAACAGCATTTGAGGTTGGGGATTCAGTTGGTATTATAATTCATCATTCTTAGGATAATACTCTGAGTTTATTTTTCAGTAATACAGCCTCTGTTACTACAAAAAGTAAGCCTTTCTTTTAGAAAATAAACGTAAACGTTGAGGTCTTTCATGCAGTTTTTGATCTTTGACTGAAGTCCTGAGTTCATGTCTTTCCTTCTACCAATTTATCAATTGTAAGTAGGGTAAATAATCAGCTTCCCCATACTTCTTACCCCGAAAAAATTGCAGAAGAAAATCAAACATGCTCTCACTTAGAGCATCAATTTCCCCCATTTCTTGATTTGTGGGTGGTGATACTCTCACTGCCGTCGATTAGTGACTGTCTGACAGGGTAGAACTGCCCCTATGGATTTCTGAGACTATTTATGGGAGTAGAAAGCTTCATCTTTCTCCTCAAAGTTCCTGGTGGTTTTGAACTGTTGACATTGAGGTTAGCAGCCCAATGCATAACCACTAAAGCGCACCTCACACCATGGTTTCACAGTGCCCTTTATATTAATGGAGGCCGAGTTATTAGTACCTTCAGTACTGATCAGACTTGGGAACCAATTGAGAAAATTGATCCTTATAACTTGGTTTCTCTAGAATCACTCTTGGAACCAAATGTTTTAGGCCGGGTTCTCTAGAGAAGCAAAAATTGTGAAGTGTGTGTGTGTGTAGGTGTCTCTATATTTAACCAAGATCTGGGTTCTAGCCTCTGGAACACCAGTTTCCTGTGAGCTCTTTTCTGATAGTTATACCAGGGTATGGTTTTTGTGCTTGGTAAAGTATAGGGTAAGCAGAAAAGGTGACTCTCAATGAGATTAATTGACACAGTGGCTGTAAAATGGGTTCTAGGATGGTGCAGGACTGGGCAGTGTTTCATTATGTTGTACCTAGTGTCACTATGAGTCAAAACTAACTTGATGACATATAGCAACATTATCTATGTGTGTTTATTTATTTTTTAATGTCAGTGATTTTTTAAATCTCCCCTCCCCCCGCAAAAAGTCTTGTTTTAGGAGCTCATCCAGACATCATGCCATTTCATAGTTCAGTCACATCAAACAGCTTTGTACTATTGCGACCAAAATTCATTTCAAAGTATTTTCTTCCTCCTTGATATCAGCTCCCCCTTACAAATCCACCCCGCCCACCACTTCCCCCACTGCACCCCCAGGAACCCTTATTCTAGTTGTTGTTTCTCTAGGTCCATTTATCCTGGGTTTCATATACCGAAAAATGTTGAAAACCACATAGCAAAGCGTCAGGAAGGCTACCCACAATGACAAAATACAGCAGAGATAAAACCCACTATGAAAAAAAAACCCACAGAAAATATTAAAAACCAAATCAAGGCCAAATGTATCAAGCGGCAAAGTTTTAACCGTTCAAGTCAGGTTTATCATTTTAATCTACTACAGTCATCTCTCCAATACTCTGTCTGATCACCAGGTTATTCTCATCCGTCAATTATGGTCAGAAGTGAATCACCGAAGGCTTATTTCCTGTGTAGAACCTGCAAACATATTTTGGCCATGTGCTGTCATCCATGGCCTTCTGCACACCAGAATCTCACAATATAAGCTCTGATAGTACTTCATCCTTCATATCTGGATTATATAATGATCATAGATGTTGGTGTGCTTCTTCCATGTGGGCTTAGTTGACATGTCACTTATTTGAAAATAAGCATTTAAGACTCAGATGCTGATAGCTGGGCACTATCTAATTTCTTCCCTACACTTTGCTACGCAACCATATCTTCTGTGCTTCCTTTATGAAGGTAAGTAATGAGTAGGACCATGTCATAAGAAATAATTGTTCTTAGCTTGGAGCTAAAATTAAGTGCGAGCCCCAAATCCATTCCTGGATCTATGTTTTTAATTTGCCTCTGACTCACCTTAGAGATATCCTTGTTAATTTATGGTAGAAAATGATCTCAATCTTCTCCATGGACCACAAGGACCTTTTGTTTATAGTGTCATTAATTAAGCTGTGGTACTAATGTTGTAAACACTATTGAGAGAGGGAGATTGAACAAGGGTAGGCTAACTACATATCTCAATACCTGGATTATTCATTTTTACAGAATAAATCCTTACCTGACTAGATGCTATTTACATAAAGAATTAGAGTTGGTTACCAGGCAAAACTTAAAATAATATTTACTGGCAATGCCACTCAGGTCTGCCAGAATAAAACATATCTTAATACAGCAAGTAAGGCATTGAAGTAGTAAGTCAATGTTGGTCCACCTACTGAGCTAGGTGTTTATATAAATGCATGTATGTGATCACAAGGTGTCAATGAGATCAGGTATCAGGCATCAAAGAACAAAATATCATATTATTGTGAATGAGGAAGAGTGCGCAGTGGAGACCCAAAGCCCATCTGTAGGCAACTGGACATCCCCTTACAGAATGGTCACAGGGAGAAGAGTCAGTCAGGATTCAGTATAGCAACGATGAAGCATGCAACTTTCCTCTAGTTCTTTAAGGCTTCCCTCACCCCCTATCATGATCCCACGTTCAAATCCAGCTAGACCAGAGGATGTAAACTGGTACAGATAGGAACTAGAAACCCAGGGAATCCAGGACGGATGAACCCTTCAGGACCAATAATGAGAGTAGTGATACCAGGAGGGTAAGTGGAAGGTAGGGTAGAAAAGGGGAACCGATCACAAGGATCTACATATAACCCCCTCCCTGGGGGACAAACAACAGAAAAGTGGGTGAAGGGAGACATCGGACAGAGTAACACATGGCAAAATAATAATAATTTATAAATTATCAAGAGTTCTTGAGGGAGGATGGGTGGGGATGGAGGGGACAAAATGAGCTGATACCAAGGGCTCAAGTAGAAAGTAAATGTTTGAGAATAATGATGGCAACAATGTATAAATGTGCTTGACACAATGGATGCGTATATGGATTGTGATTAGAGTTGTATGAGCCCCGAGTAAAATTATTTTTTTTAAATTAAAAGAAATGCAAGTATTTGTGTGTGTGTGTAATAAAACACATAGACACAAGTATGGATATTTCTTAGATATAACCCAATACCTCATGTTTAAAATTTGGGGTTTGCAGGGACAAGGGAACAACAAATGATCTAAAATCGATGGTAAGGAGGGTGTAGAATGCCCGGTGGGTTGATCAAGTGCAAGGTAGTCAAGATCAATTACTGAAAGCTAATTGAAAGTCAAACACGATAGTGGGACAAGAGGAAAGTAAAAGGCAATAGAGGAAAGAACTAAGAGGCAAAAGACATTTTAGAGGCATAAATATAGGCATGTACATGTGTAAATATATTTATATATAACGATATGGACATAGATCTATGTACATATATTTATATGTCAACTATTAAGGTAGCAGACGGACATTGCTCAACATGGCTCAAGTCCTCTCTCAATGCAAGAACACTTTGTTCTAATAACCTGGCATTCTGTGATGCTCACCATCCAACACAATCGCTGAAGACAAAATGGGTGCATAAGCTAATGTGGTGAAGAAAGCTGATGATGCCCAGCTATTAAAATATAATAGTGCCTGGAGTCTTAAAGACTTGAAGATAAACAAGGGGCCATCTAGCTGGGAAGCAACTAAGCCAAATGGAAGAAGCACACCAGCCTGTGTGATCATGAGATGTCGGCAGGATCAGGTATCAGGCATCAGAAACAATCATATCTATTCAAATGCTCGGGGATGGAGGGGAGACCCAAAGCCCATCTGTAGACAATTGGACATCCCCTCACAGTAGATTCACAAGGAAGGAATGAGCCAGCCAGGGTGCAGTATAGCACTGATAAAACATACAACATTCTTCTAATTCCTTAATGCTTCCCCCTCCCCCCCATTATCCTGACCCCAGTTCTACCTACAGATCTGGCTAGACCAGAGCATGTACACTGGTACAGATAAGAGCCCTCGAAACATGGAATCCAGAACAGATAACCCCCTGAGAAGCAATAATGAGAGCAGCTGTACCATGAGGGTTGGGGGACAGTTGAGGGAGAAAGGGGGAACTGATCGAAATGATTAATGTAACCACACACACCCCAGGGTGAGGAACAACAGAAATTGGTGAAGGGAGACAGCAGACAGTGTAAGATATGAAAATAGCAATAATTTATAATTTATCAAGGGTTCATGAAGATGGGA